TGGAAGGCATCATTTGCTTCTATTCCCAAGGTGTTAGGGGTCATAGGTGCACTACAAGTTGACGTGGCATGGGTGCTGTGGTGGCTGAGGGTGGGGTGGGTGTCTTCTGCTGAGGACAGAGGGGTGAGGAGGATGTTGCTGTTGGATATGGAATGAGGTGCTTTGCCCCTGAGCAGTGCATTCTTATCCTTTGGAGATGAATGCAGTGATTGGGGAAAGCTTAATTTAAAACAAAAACCAACCAACCAAAAACCACAAACAAATAAACAAAAAAAGAAAAGCAAACAACTTTTAAAAAGCTTGTTTAGTAATACAGCTTTGGAGTAAATTACTTGCTTCAGGAGCAGGAGAGGGTTGTAATGAGAGTATTGGAGCAAGTAAAAGGGTTTTTCAAGTGAGACTTCCAGAAAGATGAAGAACTGTTCAGATGATGACACAAAGGCACTTTCCAGGCATTGGGAGCTGCAGAGGAGAAGCTTTGCTGTTAATGAGATTTCTCTGGGTTGGATGTAAAAGGCAAGAAGGAAAAAGGAAGGCCATAGGTCTCTGACACCTCACAGGCTGCGCTGAGAACAGGAAGGTAAATGTGAACAGTGTCCCAAAATGAACCTGGTTTGGCTTGGAAGGTGTGGTGGATGTGTTTGCACTGAGGGAGCTGGTTGTTACGGCTGCACAGACATGTAGGAGAGTATTTGTCCTGCCTTAAGTGTTGCTTCTGAACTTGGAGCATGCTTCTACCTCTGAAAAATGTGGACATGCCATGGGGAACTCGAGGGGAGCACCCATTGGTGCTGTCTTAAAGTGCTGCAGCAAATACAAGGGAGAAGGAGCTTATCTTCCACTGGAGTAGATGTTCAGAGTGCCAGGGTGTGCAGCAGAATTTGGGTATGTCCAAGTTAACAGTAGGAGTGTTGAATTTAGATGTGCCATTCTTTTAAAGTACTGGGAATTTTGCAGGTTCTGGATTTGAATTGTATCTTCAGTCCCGTTATGTGTAACAGTGTCCTGCAGCTGATGTACTGGAGTGACACTGGGTTCTGTTCATACCTGTGACCATTTCAGTTTGTTTCCTCACCCAGCATGGACAGCATGAGGTGTGCCTACTGTTTTGGGGAGGAAAATGCTGTCCACAGTTTCTGTAAATGGCTTAGCATCTCACACAGGGGCATTGCTTCTTGCCTGGACAACCTGCCAAGCAGCATGCACACGTGAGCATGGGCTGCTTGATGTGTTTGGGGATAGGTCACACATAACATTTGTGTGTGTGTATCCCTTGGATGCTGCAGAACTTCCCATTGAGGTGTTTGCCTCGGCATTTATCTTATCTGAAAATGTCTGTGGGAGAGATACAGGGAGAGAAATCAGCAGTTGCAAAGGATAATCCAGGGGCAAACAGCACAGAGTGCAGGTGGAGACAAGCAGAGCGAGCTCCCTTGCAAGTCTGCTCTGTGGCAATGCTTATGTCCAAAGTGTCACATTTATTTCTGGGGAGAAAAACAAAGAAACAAACAAACAAAAAACCAAAAAACCCCAAAACAAAAACACCACCAAAAACCACCAAAGCTTCCAGCTAGACCCTTGGAGGAAATCAATATTTTCTTTACCTGTCTCTCTCAAACTGGTTTTGCTAGAAGGCTTAGTGTAGAGGCCAAGTATCCTGCTGTACTTATGGTTCTTCTGCAGCTAACTGGATAAAATCTTGTGGCTGGTGCTGAGCTGGACATCAGCTGCTTCCCTGTGTGCTGAGACACCTCTGCTGAGAGAGGACTGCAGGGAAATCAAAGTCTCGAGGCACTGTGGCTGTCAGGGTTACAGCTCTAATGGATATTGAGAGGGGGATTTCGGAAGAAAATAAGGTCATGCAGCATTAATGAGGGAGAGCAACCTATGGTAGACTAGTGAGCAAAGTTGTTTTGGTCTTTTCTGTAACCAGTGTTAGAAAACTTACTTGGGTGTTTGTCTCCTGGCAGTTTTGTTGTTTGTAACTTTGGATCAGATCTCACTTCCCAGCTCCTGACCTCAGCTGCAGGTCTTGTTTCACTGCTGGCTTTTGTACCAGCTGAATTTCAATGCTTGCTCCTGCCTTCTGCCCTCTTTTGTTTTGTACTAAAGAGATTGCCTGGCCTTGAGACCTCTCAAGGTGCTGCCTGACTTCTCACTCAGCATATCCAAGTTTCCCTGGAAAACTTGCTTTATTGTGTGTTTTGGTGATGACAAAAGTGATGAGAATTCGTGGTGATCCAGTCTTTGGTAGGAATATATACCAGAGGGGCAGATCCTAGGTAGGATGGATTTTGAAGTACAGGAGTTGAAAGCATCAGCAGATCCTAATATTGTCTGATTGTTGTTGTTACACAATTGACTAGGCTGAGCAGTATATTTTTTTCATTTCTGTGAAGAACAGCAATAATGATACCAATTATAGAAGCTGCATCACTGAGCCACTGAATCTGGCTCAGCCTCGTGTTTTTCCCTGAGTTTTGAGATGATTGTTAACCTTTAGAAGCATGGCAAAACTTGAAATGACTGCCTTCTGCTTTCTTTGCTAACTTTTTTGGTACTATTCTCTTGCAGATATGAATCCTAATGCCCAGTTTTGGCTATTAAAGACCTGTCTGGACTCTTCGGGCTCCTTTCCACTCAAGTTGTAAGTTTTTTTTGTGCCAAAATGAGTCTGCAGGATTGAGTCAGCACCTTCCTTCAGACGTTCAATAGCTGCTTGTGGGGAAGGTCAGCCAAAAATTCTGCTACTTGTGCACCATGTGGAATTAGCTACAACTGTACTTTTCTCTTGATGCAGTAACTGGCTAATTTAGTTGCATTATTACTAACAGGATAATTATATTAAAAACCCCAACAAAACAAAAAATAAACACCACCAAACCACCCAAACTTGAAAACTCTAGCATTTACTTTTATTGTTCTGAGCTATTTTGATTCAACTACCAGCTGTTGTTAATGCAATTACCTGGATTGACCCTTGGTTACTAATGATGGTTGGGGGAAAAAAAAGCTATTGGAGAGACATCAGCTAAAGAAAATTGACAGTATAGGCATTTGATTTTATGTGAAGTGTTTTTCAGGTTGCTGCTGACATGAATGCTGTCGTGTTTCACACAAGCAGTTCTAGACCCCTTGATGATCATATAGCTGATAAAATAAGTGATGCAGTTCAGTGAAAGTGGTGGGATTAGGTCCTAGGTCTCCATCTTCTTTCCTATCCATTAGGTAGGAAAGTCCCTGAATTAATCTTTGATAACAGAGCAAGTAGCTTTGAGATAGCTGGATGAAAGGTACTAGGTAGGGATGGGTGGTATTTACATATCAGAGCTTGTGTATGCTGTAATATATAAATAAATACTCTTTATTTGTACATGACCCTGGCTTTCAGCACTTGGAGAGTGAAGCTGGTGCTTATTGGTCCTCCTTGTCTGTGGCAGTTGTTAGGGTTTTTTTTAATACTAATGAGATCCTCTGGTGAAAGCATTCTGTTCAGGTACACTTTTCCCCCCCCCTTTCTTCTCAGTGCTTTCTCTAGATGTTTTGTACCAAGTAATATCAGCAGAGGCAGGATTTCTGCTCCATTAGTCCAGGACACCAAATGCTAGGCTCTAGTCACCAATAATGGCATAACTTACTGTCTGGAGATGCCCAGAAATATCCTTCCCACAGTTTTTATGTGTAGAAGTCATATGATTATGTGTCTTTTTGTTGTGTGTTTTTTTTTCCCCCACTGTGCAGTTCAGTGACACTGGCCTGAGGTTTTTGTGTTCCCACCAGAAGCAGTGGTAGGGGCAGTGCTGGGCTCTGCAAAGCTTAGTTGTTGCTGGCAAAATCAGCAGAAGGCAGCAAGTGCCTGCTGCTTTTTTCCCCCCTCCTTCTCTTTTAGTTTGTCAATGAGAGGCCAACTGCTAGCATTTATGGGAATAAATTATGACTAAAATAATTTGCATTTAAAATGCAAATGAATGAAAGTGTCAGCAAGGAGCCTTCTGCTTTCTTCCTGGTGCCCAGATGAGGTACTGGTGTTAGATCAGCCCAGCCAGGCGCTCAGTATAAAATTAAGTTAATTGGACTTGCTGAAAAATGAAATGGGCTCAGCCTCATGCTAATTCCTGAGCCTGTGATTTAATATGACATTAGAGATGAAGGCTTGGGAAGGTGCTGAACCACTGACAGAACCCATCACCAGAGCTGTAAACCACACTTCTGAGATTCCCAGTGGCAGATTGAGAGGCCCTAATAAAATTGCAAGAGGTGAATAAAATGGAGCTCGGAAGCAATATGTCAGGATCTCCAGTCTCATGTGAATTAGAGTTTAAGTTTCACTGTTCTTTTTCTAAAGTTGTCTGTTGCAACACTGCCTGAATGCCAACTGTGGCTGCAGCCTTAGGCAAGATGAAAGCTGCCTGTACGTGTGAAGCCAGTTGGTTCTTGAACAAAACCTTTTTCAGATGAACCAACAAACTGTTGATGCATCTCTGAATCTAGTGTTTTCATATTGGAAGCTTAAGGTAAATTTTCTTCACTGTTCATTGCTTTCTAGGCCTGTAGGTGGCTAGAAGAATCATGTGAAGAATACTTAGTGGCCTGCTTGTGGCCAAGGGAAGAAGTGAAGGAGGAATTCTGTGTAATCTTTCAGTGAAGGAGGCGTTCAGTGTAATACTTGAGTGCAGTTGTAGCAATGGTTGACTTGTTTCCTTCTTAATAGGACATGGAAAGTGTTCTACAGCAGAACTTGAGCATTGTCAATGCAAGTGAATGCACATTTGTGAGGCCAAGCCTCTGTTGCTCTGGCAGTGTGTTTCTGTAGGGTGATGGCTGATGATAATGCCTCATACCTCTGTTCTGTGTGTCACTCTTGTTTTAATATCTTTGTCCTCTTCTTTTTCCCTTTTCATAGCCATGTTACTGAAGATCACCTTGTCTTCTGGAAGTAGAAACACAGTGGACAGATGAATCTGTTCGGCCAGATGTTCCTCCAGTAGATCTCTCTGCTCATGGAGCACCACAGCAGGGAGGAGATGGACTCAAAAGAGGAAAGTCCTCAGGTGTGGGCTGACTCTGCTGAGCAGGAGCAGAACACTGCTCAGGTGACCAGTGCCTTCCAGAGCGCTCGGGTTTTGCTGGGGCTGAACTGGGCTCGGTGCAGCAGCATAGCAAGCTGGCAAACCCCTGTGACCCTTTCTTAGTCTGGAAACTAGGCTTTCATTTATAAATTCAAACATGTCTGTAGTGATTTTACATTAAAGCTTCAGCAAGTGAGCTGTGGAAACCACAGTGGTGAATACAGAGACGTCTAAAATGAGCTGAAGAACACCAGCCAGAGGCTATAGAAGTTTCAGTGTCCAAATATATGTATAACCGTGGGAAAGTGAAAGGGTATTCAGATTAATTAATATTAGCAAAATCTGTGGCAGCCCATTTTGATGGCGTCAGTTGGAACTGTGGGTGGACCTTTGGGAAAGTAATATGAATAATTTTTTCCAGTCAGGTATCTGGGTAGTGGGGAAGGGAGAAATGTTAGTCGCTAGTGACTAATACAGCCAGATTTGGATGTGTGCAGCTAGTCGTTCTGCCTCTGAGACTGTACAGCTGAGGATTTCTCTAAACTGATTTATTCTGTAAAATATTATATGCTGCATGTCATTTGACCCCTGAGCTGGGAAATTCTGATGCTCCTGGTAATTTCTATCTTTGAAATTTGCCAAGAAAGGCAGTTTTCAGTGGCCCGTGTTCTTATCTTTCCAACCGGATAACCATACTGCTGTTTGCACATGGCAGTTAGAAGGCTTAATTAGTCATTGCAGAGCACTCTCCAAATGCAAAACCCTGCACATACCCTTGCTGTAGTGTTTGCAGGAGGATTTATTGTGTGGAATCAGCACTTAGCAACCACGGGGGAGTACCAGGTGAAGCAAAGTAAATAAAATATCGAACTGCAGCGTCATTTTATGTGAAGGCATTTTGTGTGAGGGTGAATATGGATAATAAAAGTAGGTTTCCTGCAAGCTGTCTGATTTTCCCCATGTGCTGAAAATGGTTTTCAGCATGTAAATGTTGTCAAAAGATGAACATGCTTGTTTCCACTGGAACTGAGTATTCCAGCTTGTTTGAAGTAGGACACTGGTCATCATTTGTGATCGTAATGTTCTGTCAAAATCAACTATTTTGGGTTTAAACTGCTGCCCCAGACATAACTTGTTCCAGAAGTCCTTGGAATAGTTGCTTAATATTTTCAGTTAGATGTTTCTCTGTTTAAATAGTTGAATTTTTTACTGGTACTGCATGCACTTACTCCAGAGAAGCAATCTAACATACACCATTGCTTCCTCTTGCTAGCTGCAATCCTCTTTCTCAGAGTAGTATCAAAGTTAATAGATTCTGTTAGCTATTCATCAAACAGCAAAAATTATCTCCAACTACAGAACTAGCTGAATGAAGTAATTATCATAAATCCAGAAAGCAATATGGGAATAAAGGGAAACAATATACCAATAAATCCCATAGATCTGCTAGTTCAAATCTGAGTCGTCTTTTCTTAAGAATTTTCAAAGGGTGATCCAGGTATCTAAGTATTAGAAGGTGCCCTTTATACCAGTTAGGTCTTGAGTTAAAATGCAACATAAAACCAGAAACTGATGGCAGTTCTTATGTCCAGATTTCCATGTTGCTAGCATAATTCAGATGAGATTTTAAATGTCTGTTTTCAAAACAGCTGCCTAGGTAGCTGGGACACCAGGTGCTCTCTGCTTTCCAAGGCACCTCTGCAACTTGTGTGGTTTGCCTTGTTTCCCACAGGTGTATAATTGCAGAAGTTTCAACACAGGGTCTGTTTGGTGTTTTTTTTTTCTCCTTCCAGGTGCACTTTGTCCCTGAGGGGGGGACAGTGGCCCAGATTGTGTACAGTGATGAGCAGGACCGTCCCTCGCAGCAGGTGGTCTACACGGCAGATGGCACCTCCTACACCTCCGTGGACACCTCGGAGCACACGCTCGTTTACATCCACCCTGTGGAAGCTACACAGGCATGTGTGGTTCTGGGCACACCCCGTTTTGGCACCTAGAAAATAAAGCAGTCTTATTTGAGATGAAACAGCCAAGTGATGAGACTGGAAAATAGCAGGCAGTTGCTCTTCACACTTTTTATCTACCCGTTGCCGAACAGGGACTTCATGCTGTTCATTTATCTGATGTGCAAATGTGTTAATCAAAGGATGTTGAGGCTGTGAGTTGTGAACTGCTGGTTATTTCACTGAAGGTGGAAGAGATTATAATTAAATCTAAGGTGTTTTCTAAAAACGGATAATCTCTGCAGAATTTCTGCCTCTGTGTTCAGTAAAAACCTCATAGTGATCTGGGCTTTCTGGAAGAGTCCTTGTTTTGCATAGTACAGTTTTCATGACTGATAGTTCTAATCAGTCATGTCTTTTTGCAGAGGATCTCAGTGTGTTCAATCTAATTTAGTAGTCTCTCCTCAAAGAAGTTGGTGATTTTATAGACCTGTGTGCTCTGTCATAATTCTATCAAATTGCTCTTATTTTCTGACAGCATGTGTTTATATGTAATTAATATAGTCTGCATCTGTACCTCTGTGCAGACAGATGAAAAAAGAGGAGTGGGTCTGCTCTGTTGAGGATGGTTTATCCTGTCTGTGCTGACAGGGCAGATTAACAGTGCTACAGAGTGCACATAGTCGACACCCACAGCAGTGCTGGCATGGCCTCGTGCAGCATGGTCTCTCTGGAGCAGTTTTTGGCTGTTACATAAAGACAGCTCCCACGTGGTGGGATGTTCAGAGAGGATAAGATATTTTGTGAGGGTTTTTCCCAGGAAGCTACTGACCAAGTAACTCCCCAACTCTGATTATGATCATCTTTGTCAGAAGAGGTGTAGTATTAAGACTCTGTTGTGCAAGTGAGATGAAATTATTGAAGTGCTAATGGAACTTGTTATATGCTGTGCTTTATTTTGTCAGAGCCAGACTGATACAAGCTCAGATATTTCAAGTTTTGGTAAAGTAAGCAGGGCTGACCTCAGTCAGTACTTAGTTTTCAGCTAAGTCTTGTATTTCATAGAGGGAGGGTCTCCCATGAGGGCTGTTCTTGCAAGCTACTACAAAAATATTGATGTTGGCATGTCTTCTGTGAAATTAAAATACCAATGTCCTGGCCGTGTCAAATTCTACATGTAGGATAGGCCTGTTATCTGCATGCTTTCTTTTGAGGACCTCTTGTGAATTTGCAGAAAGATAAAGTTAATAGTCATCTGTCCTGCCCTCAGGTATTACATAGCATTTATGTAGCTCATGAATTTCTTTCTGTAGAATTTATTAAGTTGGCAATTGACAAAGTGGTTTCTGTATTCAAAAAAGAAAAAAATCCCATGAGGCTCTTCAGGTATGTAGATGAGAAGGGCCATATAAATATGATATTTTTATGGAGCACTACTTAATTTTAGTATAATCTCTATGCATGGCTGTTCACATGGGTAAGTTGAATTAGTCTGCTGTTGGAGTGGGTGCATTAGAACTTAGCAGAGGATTAAATGTGGATCATTTCTTGGTGGCAGGGTGGCTTTTGTGTGAGTTGGGAGTGAACAACCCCGAGGCTGGTTTGATAAGCCTTTCTCACTTTGTCTAGACTCTGTTTACAGATCCGTCCCAAGTGGCTTACGTCCAACAGGATGCCACCACCCAGCAGGTAAGGAAGAGACATTATTGTCCTTGGGCCTGAACCTGTATGGAAACTGTTACTGGAGGTCAAGGGACATTGTTGTGGTGCCAGAAGGTAGTGAGCTATCTCTGAAATTGTCAAATGTCCATCTTCTGGCATGTACTGTCATCCCAGGGATGAGGGCAAAAAGCCTATGATAACAAGCCACTCTTGTCTTAGCTTGCTTGTGCATGAGTGGCAATAAAAGTTAAGAGAGTTTGAGTTTGATCTTTGAAATTCATGTTGAAGAAAAATACTAATTTACTGCCCTGGATGTAATGAAAGATCTTTCAATGCTGTTCCTTTAAATGAGTCAGCAAGCCATTGTGGCTGACTTTGTTTTAATGTGTCATTCTGGGGAGACTGGATTTGCAAGTGTCCTCACACAGATTCTGATCCAAATGTCTTTAAGTCCAGAAAGGGCCCTCAAGGGATAAAAAGTTTGGATCAAGTTCTAGGTTTGCTAGAAGCATCGCAGGAAATTGTAAAACCTGAAGAAGTTCAGTTCCAGGCTCCCTTACCTCACCAGGGCAGCCCTGGTCTGGTGTGCTTGCCAGTGTGGAGTAGGAATGGAATAAAACTGGAGTGTGTGTTTATGAAGTTTGGATTATTTTTATTTTTTTTCCATCCATCATGGATGGGAAGGTTTTGCTGTTAACTTGTATGAGTATCATTGGGAGCTGCATTGTGGTCATTGGATATAGATGCTTCAAATTCTTGGCTTGTCATAGAACTTAAAAAAATCACTCCTTCCTGGTGAGTTCTTAATGACAGGTGTGAATGGATGTGTTAGATCGTAATCATTGCTGAGTGCCATCTTCAAAATGCATATTTATTGACAGTCTTGGGGCAGAGCAAAGGGTTGAATGTGCACTTAAAAGCAATTTCTTCTAGCTGAAAGAAACTGTTGAGGCACAGGCAGGAAATGATGTGACTGACACAGAAACGGTGCTACCCATTTCCTTCCCATTCTCTGGAGGTATTTGGAGTGTCGTTCTGGAATATGACCAAAAATCCTATTTAATGATCTTAAAACTCATTTGACAAATAAATAGATGATCTAATTAAAAACAGATAATTTATTCATGCAGTGACATGACAGCAGAAGTGGTGTGCTGGTACTATCCTGTGTTGTGTAGCAAGGGCACAAGCACTTGTATGTGTGTCCTCAGCCCGTCCTCCCTCCCTACACCATCTGACAGCAGCCCCAGCAGACATTTTTCTTGTGTTGTAGTTAGTTCCTCACTGTGGCAGCTCCTGCTTTTGCAGGTGTTTTTACTCAGTGTTTCAAGTGGGATGTCCCCAAACTGACAACAAATGTTAAAATAATAATCAAAACTCTTCTTATCATTCAGAAGAAACTTTATCCTAGAAAGAAAAAGAAAGGTTTTTAAAAATAAGGCTTTTATTCCTCGCAGTGTCTGACATGGAAGTGAAAGTAAAGATATGTTTGAAGTGTGATTAGTTGTAGGAAATGCTAATATGAGGGACGAATAGACAGAAGCTTTTGTGAACCTCTTGCTGCTGGCAGATCTGGAGGTGTGCCACTGAATAATGATGCCTTTTCTGTTGCCACTTGGCATCAGAAATGTCAATACCAGACAGCTTGGTTCAGCTGTCATCTTGGCGGTTTCCTGCACACTGTCACACAGTTCCCTGAAGTCTTTTTGCTGCAGTTTTTAAACAGCTTCATAAATTACTTGTAGTACCTCTTTAAACAAAGCAACTAGATGTGAAGTTTTAAGTCTGTCTGCTCATGTTACAGGTTTTCTTGCCTGCTCCTTTACTGTTGGCACAAGTCACTGCTCTCAGATTTATCTGTTATTTATTGTGCACTCTGTAGAGGGGCAGAGGCTTTAATTTTAGCATAAAAGCTGCTTAACAGTCAGAGGCACAAACTAGAAGCCACATGATGTCAGCTGTAGAGAAGGCTGAAAAATCAGGAGGGATAACAGTGCAGATTCCTGTAGAGATAAGCAGGGAGCAAAAGACAGGAAAGGTGATTCCTAGGATCTTAATTCTGCTTTGCGCTGTTGCTGAATAGATCAGAACACTGTGGTAATATGCATTAATTCTCATGTTACTGCACCAAGAAATGAGTATGAAAACAATCAAAAATGTTTAGTGTGACCAAATAATGTAAAGAAAAAATAATGTCTGGAATCCTTTAATTGGAGTGCTTGATCTTCTAACAAGATTGGTACACCATCTTGTTTGTATACTGGATCTTGGTTTGCTTGAGAAAAAGGGGGATAGCAAAAAAGAGGAAATCTTTTTTTTTTTAAGGGGAAAAAGTAAAGAAGTGGTGGAAAAAAAGGGGCAAATTTGGAGCTAGAGGAAAAAGGTCCCAAGTGCTGGTTTTACCAACAGCTAAAGAGCTCCTCACATCTCTTTAGTACAGTTTGAAGGCAGCGGGGATAGGACCTTAATTGAAAGCCAAAGGTGGGAGATAGGAAGATCAGAAGTTGCAAAATCCAGGCTGAGTTTTGAAGCCTTTCCCTTTGCCCGTGGATTTACAGGTTTTGTCCAAGTCCATCATCCCTACTTTTAAAAAAAAAATTAAATCCTTCAAATGCTGCATTTTTTGACTTAATGCAGGACTGCAGGGAGCTTTGCATGCAGGGCACTGCCCGTATGTAAGTGACTGATGGAAATGACGCAGTGCTAAAATGAGTGCCTATAATTTTAGGTAACTGTGCTCTTGCCTGCTGCTGCTCAGAGCATGAACCCCACCAACCTGTCCGTGCTCGGCAGCGTTGCCGAATCCCCCCAGCAAATGGCTCTGGAGCAGGGTCCACAAGCAGATAGAGTAAGTGGCCAGGCACCCTTTTCTTCTGAATGTGCGAGTAGAACGAGTTCATTGCCCCATTGTCTCCGGTGGTGACACGTGTCTGAGTGATACAGAGGAGATGTGAGAAGGCTGTAGTGCAGATTTGTGCTGTCTTTCATAGTCTCACCATGGAATGTGTGGAGTGTGGGGTTTTTTTTTAGGAGACATCGTGTGTTTAATACACAGAGAAACCTGTTCTACAGATTGTTCTGTCTTGAGCAGCCACCTTAAAATACTCTTCTCGGCTTTGAGAAGAAAGTTAACAGAAGGTGTAATGCTGGCTGTCAAACAGGACCAACATTTGCTGGGTGTCTTTGCCAGTCTTTTAAAACAGCATTACTGTGTGGAGTGTTTCTTGTTCTCTCCCCAAGAAACCCACCTAGGTGATGGGATATTCCATGCCATGCACTTCAAATTTATTTTTTTTTTTTCAAGGAAAGAAAGGGATAAACTTTAAAATTACTGAAAGAATACAATGCCCTCAACTGTCTTCCATGTTCCATAGTTTATAGCTAGTCCCCATGTTATCTCATCCCTTGTTGATCTCTGTGTGTACTCTGGGGATTGTGTTTTGTCTGACTGTATGATAGAAAAGAGAAGAACGTGTGCCAAAGTTCAGGATTCTCTCACTTGTTCAGAAGTTAAAATGCAGCCTTAGGCTCTGGGTAGTTTCCATGTTGCCTGGACTTTTGTTTCAGACTTCTGTGAGTGTCCAGAACTTCTGATATCATTTTCTTCTCATAAGAAGTCAGTCCTTAACAGATTATAGCTAAGTAGTGACACAGAGCTGTCCTGAACGAGGCTGTCAGCAGCAGCAGCAGTGATGTGAAACATCCCTCAGCAGTCATTTATCATGTTGCTTCACTTTCCCTTGTCCTTATTTCCATTACTGAAGGATGCAGAAAGGGTAGAGTAGCAAGAACCTTCACTGCTTGTCTTTGTGAGAGTGTTTTTCTGCAGAAAGCAGTTTTGATTGTTTCTTTGTGAATTCTCTCCTCAGGCATCATTACCGGTGCATAACCAGGTCTTGCCTCCTATGGAGGCAGTGGATGGTTCTGACCCTTTAGCACCTCTGGAGAATCAAATGGGAAGGATGGAAACAAAAGAGGAAGATGATGAGGATGAAGATGAGGATGAAGATGGGGAAGACACTGACATGGATGAATGGGATCCAGATCCACCTCGACCCTTTGATCCCAATGATTTGTGTAAGCATGTGAAGTAGGATGTAGTTTGTTAGCTACTTCTCCCTTTTTGTTTTTTCCATTCCATCAGCACTCTAGTAAATTGAGCCAAAAACCATTTGGCTTTTTTAGCTGTAATAAACAAACCCCTTTATACCCAGAAAAGTAGAGTTGTGTTGAGCTGCCTTACTGAAAACATAAGATTCTGTCTCAGGCAAAGTCTCTGAGCTGCATTGTTCCTCGTTCTGCAGGAAGCTGCCCTCTCTAATGCTTTAAAATGTAGACTGACTAGTGGAATAAATGTTCCCACAGCTGTGCCAGAGATGTTTAGAGAGAGATAAGGCTGTCTCCTCAGAGCTGGTGCGTGAGCGCCTGACAGACATGTCCTCTCTGACTTTGTCTTGCAGGGTGTGAAGAGTGTAATAACGCCCATCCCTCTGTGTGTCCAAAGCATGGACCTTTGCATCCCATCCCAAACCGGCCAGTGCTGACCAGGGCTAGAGCCAGCCTCCCCTTGGTGCTCTACATAGACAGGTTTTTGGGAGGTGTGTTCTCCAAAAGGCGTATCCCAAAGCGCACACAGTTCGGACCTGTGGAAGGACCCCTGGTCAGACAAACTGAACTGAAAGACTGCTACATCCATTTGAAGGTGAGAGTGTGCATACAAGAGTAGAGGAGGGAGCAGTTTGTGATTAAGCTTTCATTTCCATGAGTTTTGTCACTCTGCCTTGATTGGTTACTTCACTGGAGATGTTAATTCCATCTCTGAATGTAACTCAGAAATATCCACAGAATTGCTTTCAGTTGAAGTCAGCTCTGTTATTCAGGGAGACACAATAATCACAGGGAATGTTCTGGCCTTATGGTGTTATGACATATAAAACTCACTGTGGAATGCTGTGAATCACTTTGACATAGGCTGAAGCAGCATCTGAACATAAAAACAGCAGCTCCAGCTGAGGAAGTTTGGCAGTCATTACTTTGTGGCATGCTGTAACTTGAGTTAAAAATATTTTTCTTCCTTTTCCCTGCTCTCCCTGACAAGATGTAGGGGAGAGATTTTCCTCCCTTCCTTTGTGCCAAATTGTTACTGTGAGGTACAATGGATTTGATTGACTGTCATCAGTTTTTGGACTGGTTTCGTGATAGGATTTGGTCCTTTATTTGCTGGAGATTAGGTCTACAGTCTTAGGAGCGTTGGTCTCTGATGGTCAGTGTCTGACGAGGAAGTTGTGACCACAAACAGGTTGTCACCCCACAAATTCAGCTAAAGCAGTGCTGCTTTCAGCTTGAGGCAGTGTCACAAGCCAGGAAGTGAAAGGAGAAGTGGGTGACACCAGTGACAACTGATGCCATACAGCCTGCTAAAGCCACAGTGTCTTTATAGCCACACATCAGTGAATGCTTCTTGCCCTTGAAAGCTGTGGAAGGGTCCATCGTGTCTCCCTAGTTAAAGCTCTGCCTATTTTTAAGTATTTTTCTAAGTGCTGCCTGTTTCTGGGTCCCTGTTAGCAGAAAGAAAATTAGCCATGCCTTCAATGCTTTCTTAATGTTAAAGTTGCATGGGCACAGCAGTGTTTTTAGCAACTCAAATTCTTTTGATCCTGCTGCCAGGCATTTACAGTCACATACAATTGGATTTTGCTGCAGGTTTCCCTTGATAAGGGCGACAGAAAAGACAGAGAACTGCAAGAAGACCTGTGGTTTGAACTTTCTAGCGAGGCTCTTTGTAACTGGATGATGTTTGTGCGTCCAGCTCAAAACCACCTCGAGCAGAACCTGGTAGCCTATCAGTATGGCCACCATATTTATTACACGACCATTAAAAACGTGGAGCCCAAGCAGGAGCTCAAGGTATGGCATTGCTCATGTTTTGTGACTCATTTTTCTGCTGATGAAATCAAAACTTAGACTTGCTACCTAATAAGTGCATCTCGGAGTGCCTGAAATTATTGCTGTAAGTAGTTTTTTTTCTCTGATAAAGCACATGGTAGTCTGAATCAAATGTCATTGAGGTCAGTAAGTAGTTAGCCATTGGGGTGTGGATTTTTAAATGAGTTTTGACTCATTTATAAGATGAGGAAGTTTAAAACAAGAGTATGTAAATGATTTGTCTGGCATTGTCATGCTTTACACTGCATATATTTTGCTGATGCAACCTGATTTTTATAAGCAGTCTTACTCTTTCTAGTTCTGGATAAGTTTTCCAGTTAGTCCTCTGTGACCTTGACTTGTTTTCTGGTGCCTTAAGTGAATATTATCTTTCACTTTACTTGAGCTTCCTGGGACTTTGAAACTTTGCATGTGAAAAATGATGGATATTGTGACTTCTCTGAGTTATTTTTCCCTCTAAAAGCATAGTGATCACTTTGAGCTGAAGGCAGCATAGTTGGCTGAGACTGCCTTAATTTTCAACATCTGTTGGGGAACTGGTTGTAACCAAAAATCTTTCATATTGGGAAACTGCTTGTTCCTCTTCAAATCTTCTCTTAGACGAAATTTGAATACTGTTTTAAAAACACTTGGCTAACTCATGGCAAAACCTGCTTATATGCTCACTGCTGATTTTTTTTTTAAGAGTAGGATTCTTTTTGATTCCTCTGAAATCTGTCCTTAATTCATTTGAGCTGATTCACTAGAAACAGTGTTTGTCTGTTTTAAGTGTATCTAAACATAAACTAAATTTGAATCCTGTTTTAAAAACACTTAGCTAACTCATGGCAAAACCTGCTTATATGCTCACTGCTGATTTTTTTTTTAAGAGTAGGATTCTTTTTGATTCCTCTGAAATCTGTCCTTAATTTATTTGAGCTGATTCAGTAGAATCAGTATTTGTTTTAAGTGTATATAAACATAATTTTCTTAATCAATTTGCAATCATACTTTAATGAAGGCTGCACAGACCTGCATGTAGAAGCACCATTTTTCTTGCTTTATGCATTGATAAGGGTTAATCAAAGGATTATGCAGGTGGTCGAGTCACTGTCCCTGGAGGTATTAAAACAACTTGTAGGTGTGGTACTTCAGGACATGGTTTAGTGGTCATGGTAGTGTTGGATGATGGTTGGACTTGATCCTAGAGGTCTGTTCCAACCTTTATGATCCTATGATTGTGTCTTTTGCGGTAAAATCGGACAAAATTTATATGAATGCCCTAAATCCACACCCCTGGGGAGGGAAACACATTACAGAGCCTAGGTCATTTGCTTGCAATTATCAAACCAAAGCTTGAAGTAGGAGGATCTAGTTGAAGTAGAGAACTTCTCTATTGCATGGCAGGTGAGCAGTCCAGGAGCTCCAGGCTTTCTTCTTTGTCCAGCTAGTGAGATTCCTGCAGAGTAACACACATCTGCTAGTGAGTCCTTGAAGGAGTTAAAAATGCCACTCACTGCTGCTGTGAAAATGCCTGCAACCCACTGCAAGTTTAAACTTGCCCAGATTTTTCATACTGAAAATCCATTCATGCCTTCTTTGAGAAATCTCTTCTAAAATGGAACCATTTTAATCAAACAGTAAGATGAAATGAGAAATGATGAAAGAATTTGCATCTAAACGCGAGCATCTGATTTCAGGCTCTATTCAGCCTTGTCCTTCTGCAGTGTTTTCTGATGAAGGCTTCTGGAGTCCCTTGTATAATGCAAGTGGGTCCATTGTACTGCAGCCTTGCAGGTCTTTGTTTTGAGAAGCAGGACAATCCTTCAGAAGTTGGGAAACATTTTAAAGGAGTTGCTGTGGATGGTGCTACCTGTGGTCTGTGTAAGGCAGGGAAGAAATGGGAAATCCCTGGGGCTGATAACTTTTTCCATTCCTCTTGGTACAGCAAGTAACATCTTTCTGCTGACATCCATCCTTTGCAGTCAAGTCTGAAGAGATAAATCTTCTTTCCTTTTGAGCTACTGGTAGCCATGTGTGAGATTAACATTCATATTAGGAGGCTATACCTTAAAATTAAATGGATATGCTTTCTGAGCAAAGCTCTTTTATTCCTCAGTGGGGGCATATTGATCTCAACAGGCTTTGTTATTGAGGATGAAAGGAGCAATAGGAGTTAGTGGTTGAAGCAAGTGAAATAAATGTATTGCTTAAAAACCATTTTCAAATGAATTCACTTTAGTTCTGGTTCCTGCTGTTTTTTGCTGCAGGTGTGGTACGCTGCCTCTTATGCAGAGTTTGTGAACCAGAAGATCCATGACATTTCTGAGGAGGAAAGGAAGGGTAACTTGGGCTCTTCTACTCTCATTTTTTGCAGTGTGAATGGTGGCTGGGTGTCGTACTTCTTAGTTTCAAGTATGTGGCCTGTATAGTGCTCCCAGATTTCTGCTAGGTTAAGAGAAGTTGAACCAGATCTAGATTGTATTATTGGAATTTATTTCTACTAACTCTTCTCATGCTAATATTACAATAATTTAACCTTTTGCCTCAGTTTCTGGGAAGCATTAGATTGCTGCTGGAAAGAGTTTCTGTACTTGATGTCTAATGCTGAGTCCATGTCAGAAACCAATGTGCTACTGCTTTCAGTTGAGGATTTTCTCTTGACCTCCCCTAATTTAAGGCAGAGACAGAGTCTTGTAGGTGCTTTCCCATGGAGGATAACTTTCAAAATCTCCCTGCATTTTAAGCTGTGTTTATAGTCCATGTGAATTGTCCCCACTGACCTTTTTGTCTTTGTGATGATCTGTAGTCATGCCACAGTGCAGAGGGGATAAAAGCGAAGCTAAAAGGAGCAGTGCTGGGTATTCTGCAGCCTGTCAAACCTTCAGGGGAGAAATATGGCCCCCAGAGGACAGAAAAGCTTAGGGGGGAAAAAAATATGAGGCGTTTAATTGGTGGTGACTGAAATGCTGTTATTGACATTTCCAACTGAACATAGTTCTCAGAGAGCAAGAGAAGAACTGGCCGTGTTACGAGTGCAACCGCCGTTTCATGAGCTCGGAGCAACTTCAGCAGCACCTCAACTCCCATGATGAGAAGCTGGACTTCTTCAGCAGGTACTGAAAGCTTTGGTTTTGTGTGTCACTATGGTGCTGCCCCAAACCTGCAGAAAGGGGGGTCTTTGCCCTACAGATCTCACTGACCATCTCTGGTACCCATGAGAGAACACCTCAGCACCAGGAGGTAAGAATAATGCAGCAGAAAACTGGTTGGTGGAGAAAGACTTTGCAAAAGAAGTAGCTTGAGGAAAATAAATAGCCTGTTGAAACTGCTGAGATTTTTTGGGGGAGGGGGGCTGCTTTGGGACTTCTTTTTGCTAGTGACTTAAAGGATTGCAGTATTTCTGTACCACAACATTGAAATACTGATGCTTCTCAGGGGTAAGCAGATACAGAGCATGGAGGACAAGACCTCTAGTGCTTTGTCTCTCACGGGGCTGGCAAGATAGTTTATCCTGACTCATTAAAAGCTGAATCTAAAAACCTTATTTAGAGAGTAGAAGACATTGGTGCCTTCCTTTTCCTGAAATTTAGCAAGTGGCTGTGTTCTGTTTTGTTGTGAGTTTGTGGTTTTGTGTGTGTTGTTTTTTTTGTTTTTTTTTTAAAAACAGAAAATTGTTCCTCTCAGTCCTACTGCCTGGCCTCAATGGCCAAGTGCCTTTTTGGGGAGGGATGTTATGGCTTCATGTTTTAAATTGGTTTCCTTGTGCACTTCTTCCATCATGCTTTCCAGCATGTTGTACACTGGGGTGTTGGAAGTAAGAGTTGCTGTGGCAGAGAACTTGCTAGAAGCCAGTAGTCCTCTTGGTCCCATGATTACTGAAATAAATGTTAATGTGTTCTGGATTTTTGATTTCACACAGAGCACAAAACAGATGCCAGCCAGGACCCTGGGTTTTGTCTACCAGAATTTCTTCAGGTTTTATTTACTGCAGGCTGGTGTTACTGAGTTGAATGGGTGAATAGTGATGCTGAGAAAGAACACAAAGTCAGCAGAGATTGCAAATCCGTCTTGTTTTGTCTCTAACCTGGAGCACTGTGTGTTCTGCAGAGCCAGAGGCCGAGGTCGCGGGCGAGGAAAGAGGAGGTTTGGACCAGGCAGACGCCCGGGGCGCCCTCCCAAATTCATGCGTATGGAAGTAACCAGTGAAAATGGGGAAAAGTGTGAAGAGGGGATGCAGGTATATTTTTGGGGATGGAGAGGAGGGGAGTGTAAACTCTTGACTAAAGGAATTGGAAGCATCAGTGCAAACCGAGGGTGTGCTTTGGATTTAAACCCAAGTAATTCTTGGTTTTCTATCTGTGATTCTCTGCCAGGGGAGGAGCACTCTGCTTCTATAAAAATGATAAAATCACTTGCATTTCTAAAGCAACTTTCATCCCAAAGCACTTAGCAGTGAGATAGGCTATTGCAGCAGTTTATGAGCATCACAGAAGTAATTTAGACCAGTAAAACTGTAATGGGAATTTAGGTTTGTATTTGTCCTTTCTGGAGCATGAGGTCAGAGCCTGCTCTTATAACTCTTGCTGGTAGAATTAAATTGGTTTGAGCTATGATTCTTCATGATGTTTTAATATTAACAAAAAGACCTCCTGTAGGCATACTTAGTGAAAAATGTCCCTCTGCTTGGAGCTCTGGGTTATATTCTGCAGCGACCTCGTATGATGCATTTAAGTAAAGTGCTAAATTCTCTCTTCTGGCTGAGCTTAGGTTACCACCAAGTCCTTTTCTGAAAGATGTCAGAAGGGGTCAGTGGGTCTTTAAATGTCACGTTAAGCACAGATAGTTGCAAGATCACCCTCTGCAAACTGACAAGACACAAACTCACTTTAGACAAGCAGGCATAATCTGTTCCCAGACTCTTAACTCTAGAGAATACAGGGCCCACAGGGTGCAATCCTGAGCTAATGTGTCTGAATGGCCTGGAGGTGGCTCCCATTCTGCCAGCTTGGAGCATGGCCCACAGCAAGCTCACGTGTGTCTACACAGCTGAGCAGGGCCATGGTTACATCCCGAGCCTTTGGAGGTCTGCCCACCTCCCTGATGACCAGGCACGAGTTCATCTGCCGCAGAACTCGAGCCTGGGGGTGCTGTGAGTGCAGTTTAGTGTCAGCGAGAGTGGAAATGTGCCACCTAGACCAGGGCTGGATGTTTGGCTGCTGTGTTGCTCTGCTGGGCGTCTCTACCTGGTAAGCATTCATGGTTTGTAACAGCTGCACTATTCCCAGCACCTCCCTGGTTTTCTCCCTGCTTTTGCACTTTGACAGTACCAGCCTTGAGCTGATAGGCTTTTGGTGCTCAGTTTCCTAGCTTGTGTGTTTCTAGCTTGTTCCCTTAGTTGCATTCAGTGATGTCAAGGTTCTGTTTGTTTTTTTCCTTGTAACACGAGAGGATTCCATCTCAGAGGAGTTGCTGGAACTTATATGGAAAGAATGTAGATTTTTGGCATGTACTTCCTGCTCCCTTTTCTTTTACGCTAATGCGAAAAAGGAGGAAAACAGCTTTGTGTGATAAGTAAGTGATGTGTGCAGCTGGGTAGATGACAATATGCAGAGCTTGGAAATTGGATAGCAAAACACACTCTGTGCAGCATGATCATCTTGTTGGTGACTTTCCAGTTCAGTGCTCCAGCTAGTTTGCTAGAAAGGAGAAGACACTGCAGAACAACACACGATAATGTTTCCAAGTGACAACCATTTCAACGAGACAGAAATTTTCCTCTTTCTCTGCTCTGTGCTAGTCGTTTGCATCTTAAAATGTCTCACAGGTCAGGCTATGTGACCTTTGCAGTAATAGATAGAAGTGCAGAAGTTGCTTGGCTGTTAACCACGGGGTCATTTGGATTGTCTGGTTCCCTTTGGATAATTTGATGGCCGAGAGAGTCGCCGACCTGCAGCGCTTCTTCCCTGGCACTCTGAGTGTTGTTGCTGTAGGTGGAGGTGATTTGAGAGCATCCACAGAACACAGCAGGAAAGGATTAGTGTAGACACATTTTGTTCATAGCTGGTGATTAAATGTGTAGAGATCTTGTCTGCTGAGTGTTATCAAAGCGTTTTTCAGTGGGTGGGGGGAATAATCACTGGTTGTATGATTTGCGATTTCAGGACTTGCTGCATTTTTCCAGCAAGGGTCAGTTTGATGAGGCCGGACAAGCGCCACTGAATGGGTTGGAGCAGCAGGAACAGACTCCAGTGCCATCAGAGACACAGTCAGCACTGGAGCAGCAGTCAGAAAACCACCCGCTGCAGATCCAGCCGCAGCATGAGGAGAGCACGGTGCCTGCGCAGAGCACCATGACAGCAGATGACATGAGGCGAGCAAAGCGTATCAGGGTAAGCAAGGAGGAGGGCAGACCACGTCTTCTCTCACCCTCTCCATTTGCTCAGCCCTGCCTGCCAGGACCAGCTGGTCTTTCTCTTGCTGTCGTATCCATTTCCAAATTCTGAACAAAGTGTTTCATTCCTAGCAATTTTCTTTGCACTGAGAGGAAGACAAATCTCATGTGAAGAACTAGCGTGTCATGAGATTCTAGTGAAAACTGGTCATCAGTTGGAGCTGATTCAATTCCAGCACAGTAATTCTTTCATAGAAACATGGTCTATCTGAGCTGGCAAGCAGGAGTGCTTCAAACAGCCGGCTGAATCATGGTGCTGTGGCACAGACTAATGACTTGCTCACAGTACCATCTGTGTCTGTCGAGCTCTTTTCTTGCACATAGCTGCCAAAAAGGAACCATGACCTCAGTTTCGATCCACTTAGTTGATGATGATGATATTTAGTAATAAAATCCTCTCTTGGGACAAAAAAACCTGCTTGTCTTTGTAAGATTAAAACCTGTGCAAAGAGCTTTGTGTACTGACAGCAAACACTTTGAGCCTGAGCTTTGTGTCGGCTGGGTGAGCTTTTTTTTTTTTTTCCCCTCTACTATGTGTGGGAGGAAAATGATTCAAGCAAATAATCCTTCAAGCTGTGTAACTGTGAGATTGGTTTATTTAGCCTGAAATCTTTTTCTTTTTCTTCCATGTGTAAAATTTTGATTACAGAAAGGAACAGCTGCAGTTGGGGTATGACTTCATTTTTAGAGAATCAGAAAGGATTACAGAAGGGCTGAATAACTCTTCTGTATAGGAAGATGTTGCACCATACTTTGCTCTCAGTTCATAGCTGTATACATGCAAGAACAGTGCTGATGTTACCTCATAAAGGCACCAGCATATCTTGAAAGAATTTGGTTCAGGCCCATGAATACTGCAGAATTTTTAACTGTATAAAATACTTGTGATCTCTGACAAATTTCTACCAGTAATTTGTATTTTTCATGTCACAAGTTTGGGGGGTAGGGGACTTTACTGAATATATTGAAAGGTGGATAGCAGAGTACAAAGACAGATGCTGAGTTTTTGACAGTAAAAAGTGTGAGTATTTACTCTTCACAAAATGTCACAACTACCATGGTGCAAAGTTGAGGCCTGGGTGTGATGGGAAGAGGAAGCGTTGCTTGATTCCCTGAACTTCTGAACCCACAATATGAAGTTAAGATCTTCTTAAGCAGTAAATGTGGGAAGGGAAAGAAATTCTGAAGTTGCTTTTCTTGCAACTTGGCTTTTGTTCCTTGGAAATTTGCAAATGGATGACAACTAAGAGGAGTGCAGTGGTGGTTTAGACCTCGGTGATTCATTTCTATCTCCAAATCTCTCTAACTTCCCATAGATCTGGCAGCTCATGTTCAGTAAAGTCCTGGAGATGTTTTAAGATAGTGGCACTGGCAGAATGGCAGATGGATGGCTGCAGAACACCTTACCCTATTGAGTCAGACTGTGAGCAATGAGAACTTGAGAGAAGAGTAAACTACCAAGCCTTATTTTTTAAGCACTGCAAAATCATGGCAAGCTCTGAGCACTCACAAAGGTGCTGTGAATAGCTGAATGCACTATGGTAACATGCACATAATATGACAAGCAAGCAAACTTTTGGTTTTAAGATGTGCAGTACATCACTCCCACAGAACATGTAGAAAATCTTGTCTCCTGATTATGATCTAGAGACCTGTGTAGTTCTAGTTCTTCTTACTCATGTAGGATTTAAATTTCAAAACCAATCCTTTGTGAATTACTTCATCTTTTCTAATGTTGAAGGCAGTGATGCTCTGTGAGTGCTGTCATTCTAGCTGGAAGCACTGATCTCTGGTGCTTCAGTGTTCCAAGTCCTGAGAGGATCAGTTCATTTTTCAGCATCTGCTTTAGAGCCTGTGGAGTTTCCTTGGAGATCAGACTTTAAATATGGCAGTTGTGTCTTTAGTATGGAAAAGAAATAGACCTGCTCTTCGAGATACTCCTGTAACAAATTAGAAGAACATTGTGGTCCACAGCCAGAATAACTGTTTTTAATTCAGTTCTGGACAGTGTCCAGAGTGTCTATGGGCCTATCAGAGAAACAGCTGCATTTCTAATTTTTTTTTTTTCACATACAGACCTGATCCTAAACTATCTGTTGTGTGACTGCTTTACTCAGGGGAAGGAACTGGAAGGGATAGGGATGTAATTGGGAAAGCACAGTCACACTGAAAGAAATGCAACTGGTGGTATAACAGTACAAACAGGAAAAGGAGTTTTTTTTAAAAAAACTCTCTACTCCTTAACTTTTTCACTTTTAATCCTTGCTCTGTTGTTATCCTGGCCTAATTATTCCCTTTTGCTACAAGTATTTGATCCTCCCCTTGGCTCTGCAGTGTGCATTACATCATTGTTAATCAACTGAGAGAACATGAAAGGTCGCAAAACACCTTCAAGAGTATCTGTGGTTTTTATCTTTGCCCTTTAACTCCCCTTGGGCAGTTATTAACTACAGGGTAAACCTTGAAGATCCACTTAGTGTTTCTTGGGGCAAACACCTCAAAGGAGTTTTGCCTTAGTAATGAGTAAACTCTGACTAGAAGAGCTGGCTCTCCTAGTGACCTGCAGAAGTCAAGGCTTCTGTTTTAAAGTCCACCACATAACATAAGTATTTTTCTTTCCCTCAATGCTGCCTGCTCAGCTGGAGCTGCAGGTAGGTTTGGTTTGGGTTTTTTTTTGTTTTGCTGGGTTTTTGCTGTATCTAATAGAATGGTACATAACAACATTGCCTTCCATGTTGTTTTGTCCAACTTCTGTTCAGTGTTCCCTGATGACCCCTGTAAATTGTCACAGTTCTTCAAGCAACCAATGTCCAGAGCTAAGTATTATCTGAATAACAATTTGCATGCTTCTAGTTCTTTTCGTACTAATTAATTGCCAATTTAAGGTGACTATTATAGGATGAAATTCTATAATATCCATCTTAAAGCTTTTGTTTGTGCAATTGTTTGCACTGGATCAGCGTTATCAATTAATGAGGTAACAGTTATCTTTTCTGGTTTTATAGTTGATAGCTTATCTAACCAAAGCACAGTAAAAGATTTCACCCTTCTATAGCCTTTGACTATGTTTATTTGCTTGGTGTAGAGACCTGGCCCACTACCTTACTGGTAGGATTCTAGTCAAACAGCAGAGTACAGTAATATTGGAGTGAAGCTCTTGAAGTGCATTTCTTTGGGTTTATTAGTATATCCCCATAGCTAAGAGGAAAATTATATACTTCTGACTCCAAGCAACATAAGAACTTTTACACAGCACATGTCTGTCTTTCCAGCTCACAGTGTGACTTACAGCAGAACTGTGTATTTCCCATTGTCTTCACTTCTGCTTGGAAAATGGAGAATGGAGATGACAATTTGGGGCTCCTGTATTAAACTGTTAGCTTTTTTATAGCAACGCTGTTGCTCTCATGTTACTTTTTCTGCAGTGAAAGTACAGGCTTCCCTCTGCAGTTCAGATGGTGAAAAGGATCATTCAGGTTTACTGATTTCATCTCTAGACAGCATTTCCCAGTATTCCCAAGCTGTTCCCTCATTCCAGCAGAAGAGCTGCCCACTTTTTCTCAGTGTCAGCTGTTGGCACACTCAAGGGACATGGCATTCCTACAGGAAAAGGGGAGAACAAACCAGGGAAATGTTTGCAGAAGTCTTGAATGCATCTCATGGAGGAGTATGTAATACTGAACGTGTGTAAGCAGAGGTGCCAGCAGTGTTATAATGCTGTTTCTCTAGCTGTCATGATGTAGATTCTGTGTATAACATCTGAGAAGAGAGGAAATGTTCATCTTGCTACATCACCAGTGTCTTTGTCTGCTGTCTTTCTTCTTCATTTTCAGGCTTTAGCTCACAGTCTGTGCTAAATGGCAAAGGTGGGCGAGTTGCTCAAGTTCTTACCTGTGGCTTGTAAAGCTGCCATTCTGCCCCTGCTCTTGTGTTTTGAAACTCTGTTCTTCTTTCTGATAATAACAAAAAAGCTTAGGCCAGCACCTTGTGAATGTATGTTCCACCAGAGGTCTTCCAGGAGATGCTAAACTGCTGCTGCACATCTCTGTGGTTATCTTTCATGCAGAAGCTGGTTTTGTGAAGGGCTGTGGAGTTTCCCAAGCACTGCTCCTCTGTGAAAGACAGGGTGCTAGCTCTCTGTACAGCACTTGAATTTGTGACCCAGTCCCCCAAAACCAGCTGGGCTTGCTGCTTTTCTCAGACCTAGGTCTGTATTTTAAAGAGGATTTAATTTCATTTTACAGAAAAAATGCTATGCTAGAGGCAAGTGTTGGCTAAATCAGCAGAAAACAGGCTGGAGAAGAAACTCCAGCACTGTGTTCTCCTAACTCAGTGTGTAACTGCAGGTACATCCCTTGATTCTGCCTGTTGCAGCCCCCCTTCTCTAAAATGGTGACAGTATCTCTAATGCAGAAGCCTTTTTTTATAGTTCAGGTTCACTGATCGTCTGGTCTATTCCATCTTGAAAATATTTGGATGTGGAATTTATCCCTAATAATAAAAGCTAACTGTCTCTTGGCTGTTTCTTTCAGAATGCAGCTCTGCAGCACCTGTTCATTCGGAAGTCCTTCCGGCCGTTCAAGTGCCTGCAGTGTGGGAAGGCCTTCCGGGAGAAGGACAAACTGGATCAGCACTTGAGGTTCCACGGCCGGGAAGGGAACTGCCCTTTGACCTGTGACATTTGCAACAAGGGCTTCATCAACAGCGGTGCTCTGGAAAGCCACATGAAGTTCCACATGGACCAAAAAACATACTCCTGCATTTTCTGTCCCGAGTCCTTTGACCGCTTGGATCTGCTTAAAGATCACGTGGCCATCCACGTCAACGATGGCTATTTCACCTGCCCCACCTGCAAAAAACGCTTTCCAGACTTCATCCAGGTGAGATGTATGGGTTTGAAACACTCTCTCATGCAGGCACTCTGACTTCTTCAGTACTGTTCTGTGTAGTGCTGCACCCCAGTTCATTTGTACAAAATAAAGGGGGCCATGTCAGTCAGAAATTAAAACAGGATAGTGACCAGGTGTTACTAGGTGCTGGCTTATGCCACTGAACTGCTTTTTCCACTAAATCATCAGGTGCAGTGCTTCATTCTGGCATACATACACCTTGTACTTTGGCATTAAATCTCTGTAAAAAAAAGAAAGTGGTTTCGCATCTTTAATCCCTGTTTTTGTCAGATTAATTCATTTGTACACTTTGCATAAATGCCAGATCAGGATACTCTGCTTCTGGACTTCCCCCTGGCCTTCATCTGATCTTCAGGATGAAGATCCCCCTGATCTTCATCTTCATACCTTCATGGTATCATCTTCTTCTCTACACACTGCTTCGGAGAGGTTGTGCTGGAGCAGTGAATAATGTAACTACTTAATGCAGCATGTAGAGCCATTGGAGAAGATCATTAACAGAATTTAAGGATATTATTTTGATCTTCAGTAAGAAGAAACTGAGATGTACCATGTATTCATTATCCTTCATAGGGACAAAGATGTTGATGCATCACTGAGCTGCACGACTTAAATTGAAATGTAGAAATCCAGTTTAAGTCAAGGAGCAGGAGCAGACAGACTATCCAATAGGCTAAAGAGGAAAAGATGGGGAAAAGTGATTTACTAACCTAGTTCCATCCTGACAAAAACCTTTATCTTTTGTAAATGTTGAAGGAAAAACGATGATTCAGAAATGCTGTACTGTGACCTAATCCCCCATAAACTTAGCCATGAAACTGATCGAGTCAGAAAAAAGTCCCATGGCTTTTCTTTGTAGCTTTTCAGCTCTGTTTTGGAATTCAAAGATGATGTTTTTCATTTGGTGTTACATGAATAATGAAGTCACCACAGATTGCTGCTTACTTAAATATTTTTATATGGAACAGATAAAGTTAACATGTTGCTCCATGTATGGTTAGTATGAGAAGATGGTAAAGATTTATTTAAAGATCCATTTCTTGAGTAGTATTTTCTTGGATTTCAAATGTCAGACCTCATTTAGCTATGTTATTGGGGAGAAAAAAATAACCAGCAGATGCTTAAAGAGGTGAAGGATAGTCCCAAAGTGTGCAAAAGTAATTGCCACTCAGGAATGGTGTGCAAATGCTTTTCTGACTAAATTTTTTTCCAATTGTAATTTCAAGCTCATTTTCTCTGATGAAAGGAATTAGTCCCTGTGTTTAGATTTCTTATAAATGAAGTAAAGTTAATAAACCTCAGACAAATGTGTTAACTTGAGGATGATTCAGTAAAACTGCTTTGTCATGGAATTTTGCTGGCCATTAACTGCCCAACTGTGCATTAGCCGTTGCCTTCAAAAATTAGTCTTGAGGAAATCAAATCATCCCTGCAGATGCACAATAAAAAAGTTCTGGCTTTGTAGAAACTATTGCCAAGATATCAACTGTTCTGATAAAACACTTTTTAAACCAAAGCAGATTAGAGAACTCTTAAAACCTCTTTCCTTTCTTTTTCCGTTTCTCTAGGAGTTTCCTAGAGTGTTTCACCACACGCTCCTCTCTTATTTTGAATAAATCCCATTTTTCTGTGGTCTGCAATCCTAGGTGAAGAAACACGTTCGCAGCTTCCACTCAGAGAAGATTTACCAGTGCACGGAGTGCGACAAGGCGTTCTGCCGGCCCGACAAGCTGCGGCTGCACATGCTGCGCCACTCGGACCGCAAGGACTTCCTGTGCTCCACGTGTGGCAAGCAGTTCAAGGTGAGGTGCCTCTGGGCTGCACTGTTCCTGATGCGGGTGGAGAACACCACTCCTCACCCTCCTTATAGCAGATAAGCTTGTGTTCTCCAAGGCAGAAGAAGCTACCATGTGTAAACGTGCTAGACTTGTCTGCGAGTTGTCACTTGTGTCAGTGGATTAACAATATTCCTGGCCAAGGTGCCTGTGTCCGTGGCATCCATCTTGTCAGCGTGTGACATCCAGATGCCTTTCCAAGTCCCAGCAGAACAGATGGAGCAGACTGTGAGCCAGGTAAACTGTGGTGGCAACAGCTTGCTCCTTGTTACTTAGTTTCTTACAGGATACTGAGGGACTGGATATTTTGGGGTGAAGAATCCCGTTCTAGACAGTGTGTGTCCAGAGAGGCTGGATTGCATCTGGGCAGTAGGTTCAGTACCACTGTAGCACGTGATGTCCTTCTCAGTTGAGCATTATTTGATGCAAGTTTTGAGCCATAGAGTTGAGCACTAATACTGTAGACAAACTCAAAGAAAAGCCAGAATGGAGGGGTTTGTTCTCACAGAGGCTGCTAAGTTAGCATTAGTTTGGCTCCTGCTTTTGTGGCTGAACAACCTCAGCTTGGTTTGAAGGCTAAACCTAAGCCAAAAGGGTTTCTGCTGAGCATGCAACTGCTCATGGCACCACTGGAGGAGGAAGCCAACGAGAGATCTTTGAAGAACTTGGGTTGTGGCTCTTCCTTGTAACCAGTAGTAAGGCAGTAAGTGTTGCTGATGTTTTTCTCTTCGACCGCTCTTTTCCTAGAGGAAAGACAAGCTGCGAGAGCACATGCAGAGGATGCACAACCCAGAGAGGGAGGCCAAGAAAGCCGATCGAATCAGCCGCTCCAAAACCTTCAAGCCTCGGATCGCCTCCACCGACTACGAGAGCTTCATGTTCAAGTGCCGGCTCTGCATGATGGGCTTCCGCCGGAGGGGCATGCTGGTGAGTCTGTGCTCTCACAGCTGCTCTGCTCAGTTTTGATGAAGAGCTAAGGAATAAAGATAGAATTCCAAAAGCTGGAACACGAGGGTGTTGTGAAACTGGGAGGATTTTGTAGCTGAGTTGAGATTATATATAATTTTTTTAAATTTATGGGTCTTATCTCTTCAGCAGATGTGTATCTCTGCATTTCACTGCCTGTGTTGTGTGTCTGGTGGTCACTGAGTAATGCTGATTGATATATTGTGTATTTAACAGAACATGAGATAATAAACTTCCTAGTTCAGCCTCACTGCCTCAGTTTTTCTGTGTTTCCTAATTTTTGTTTCTCTCCCTTCTTGAGGGGCCTCTCCTGGCCATTCCCTGTAACTGCCACTCTGTAAAGGTTGTTACACAGCAAGTGAACTTATTTGCAGATATTTCATGAGGGTTGTGATCTCTGCTAGTGAAGGTCTCCCTGGGCAGAGGCCTTTTACATGACCTTGCTCTCAGCTGCAAGAGAGTTGTGGCAAGCTGTTTTACCCCTGCCTGTCTTGATTTTGATTAGAGGAATGAAATGAGCTGGAGCAAGACCATGTTTACCTCAGCAACTGAACGCGAATGTGCAGCAGCAAAAGCTTCTGATGCATCACTACAGCTTTGATTTGGTTGCTAGCCCTGTCTAGGAGAAGCAGCAATTGCTTGGCATCCAGCTGTAATATTTTCTGTTTCTTTCCCAAAAGGTGAATCATTTATCAAAGAGACATCCAGACATGAAAATAGAAGAGGTGCCAGAGCTCACGTTGCCCATCATCAAACCCAACAGAGATTACTTCTGTCAGTACTGTGATAAGGTATGTAAGGAAGTCATTCCTCGGAAGGTTAGCTCAGTCCTAGACCTGTATGCAACCAATTTGTCTCTGTATGGAAACATCTGGCAGTTTTTGTAGCTCTTTTTCAGGTGCTCGTCAGCACCATTCCAGCAATACTGTCCAAAAAGAAGAAAAAAAGACAAAATGCACTGAGGCCAAGGCAGCTGAATGCTAATTGAAAACTCCAGGTCTCCTTTTCTGCTGTGTTTGGGTTGGAAAACATAAACGCTGTGATCCAGCAAGCAGGCACTCGGTCCTGAATCACTTTTTGCAACCCAGGTCTGTGTCCCAGCTGCCTGTAATTCCTGAACACAAATTTCTTTTGGTTTCTCTATTACTTCTAAAAGTCAGTCTCTAACCCCTTTTATTTTAAGCTGCTTACTTAGTCACATGTCAGTAATTCCCAGTGTTCAGGAGCCTGAAGCTGCTTCTGCGCTGCCTTTGGATTCCTGTTCACATTCCCTGGCCTTTGCTTTCTATGCATGTGGGCCTTTATTTAGCAGGCTTTTGACTGTCCTTAGTACATTTTTCTGTGATGTGCCTCTTTCTGTTTAAAGGGGAAAAAAAAGGATGGTTTTAAATAATATTAGAGAATGTTTGTTGATGTAGCTAAAAATTAAAAAGCATGCTGATCACTAAAAGCTATTAAAGCAGTTTGATGCTTTGTGCAAGAGTGGAGATGTCAAACCTCATGAAAAATTAACATTGGACAAATGACAGCTTCAATTAATGGCAGCTTCTCTGAGATTTGGCCTTCAGGTGGCAAACAAAGTTTTTTTTCCTCTTACTTTCTTGTCCTGCTTTGATGTTTTGTTGTGGTATACAAATGTTCTAATATGCTACACAAGGAGGAGTTGATTTTACAGGTTGGTTGAACACTGAAAGGTGTATGTATACATATACTGGAATATTTATGTGTATTATGTACATAGAATCATTTGGGTTGCCAAAGGAAGTTAAGATAACTGAATCCAACGGTTGATACAGCACTGCCAGGTCACCACTAAACCATGTCCTTAAGTGGCACCTCTACAAAAGAATCACAGAATCATTTAAGTGGAGGAAAAAAAAAAAGCCATTAAGAAAAGGCCCCTCGCATCCCTTTGTTCCCTCATCACCAGCCCAGGTTCCAGAAGGAAGCTTCTGTTACCTAATGTGTTACAAGGAAATCAATAAAGCTGGACTCCATCACCTTGCCACGAGGCTTTTGAACTTGACAAGATATATCAGGATACAGAGGAAACATCACAGCCATCACAATGTAACACCTGTTCATTAGCAATTAAGCCCTTTATTTTAAGCAAACACCTGTAATTGTGCATTATGTTGTAATTGAGGCTTTGACTGAACATACTGTCTAAAGCAACACGCAGACCTTCCAGGTAAAGATAACTGGTAGTTGTTTTCTCTGCAGACATCAGGCTTCACACAGTTTTCATTCCAAATGTTTCCCTTGCAGGTGTACAAGAGCGCCAGCAAACGCAAAGCACACATCCTGAAGAACCATCCTGGTGCTGAGCTACCCCCAAGCATCCGGAAGCTGCGCCCCGCGGGCCCAGGAGAGCCAGATCCCATGCTGAGCACCCACACCCAGCTGACAGGCACCATAGCCACCCCTCCAGTCTGCTGTCCTCACTGTTCCAAGCAGTACAGCAGCAAGGTATGGGGGTTGTCTCTCAGCCTCGGGGACGGCACCTCTCTGGTGGTGGCTGTTCTGTGTGTCACCTGTCAGTCCACAAGCAGAGTTCCTTTGTTCTGGGGCAGAGTGGTGGTTCCGTGCTGTGTGCTGACAATACAAGTGCAGCCAGCTCATTTTATGGCAGAAAGGTTCCCTAAATAGAGGGCATGAGCTTGAAAGAAGATATAGAATTTTATCAGACTGTGGTCACCAAAACAGAAAAGCTTGGAAACTGCTTGCTGACAGTGATGAGGGAGAGGAGTGGGGAAACAAAATGCAGAAAAGGTGACCTCAGGATAATGGTCCCCAAAATATTTGGTGGTGTCAGGGGAAAAAGCTTACAGGGGAGTATTTCAGTATCCAATAGCTGTCAGCAGCAGCTTTGACTGATCCTTGTTTCCTCCTTGCTGAACAGAGCATCCTACAGTGTGAATCTTGATGTTGCTTTATTGAGGGGAACCTGAAAGGTGTTGTCCACAGGGCTGTTTGATTTCAGCTGGCCTGAAGCAGAGTTACTGACCATCCTTCCAATGTTCTTTTGCATTGCCCTGCAGACCAAGATGGTACAACACATCCGCAAGAAGCACCCAGAGTTTGCTCAGCTCCCTAACACCATACATGCTCCACTGACAACAGCTGTCATCAGTTCCACTCCTGCTGTTCTAACCACTGACAGCACTACTGGAGAGACTGTTGTGGTAAGGACTTGGGAGATGTTAAATTGGGCCAAGAGAGACAAAAAAAACCCCAGAACTACTCTGCTGTAGTACTCTTGGTGTTTATTTGGCAGACATCACTCTAAAGCGTCTGTTAGGCCATTACTTGAGATTGCTTCTGTTTCTAAATCTGCTTATTGTAGTTCTGCTCTGCCAGGAATTACATAGCACATGCTGGAGCCCTAAGGATCTGTCTTTTTTCCTTACTCTATTCCCTTTCTTCTTTTAGACCCACATGGTGCTGACTCCACATTATACTTTCACATATGCCTGATGAACTCAGGAATACAGATCTTGTGGATTTCCACTAGGGCTGTTCTCCTGAGGTGCTTGCAGTTCTTGGGCTCAAGAGGATGTTTAACAGGGACTGCAGACTGGATCAAATTCTGTTCAGAGGAGACAAGGTCTCTCTGTAATCCTCTGGACAGTGCAGTACCAAGTGATAAGAACCTCCAGTGGGTGGTCTCTGCACTAGAAAGTGAAAACTGAGACTAGAAAATCAGTTTTGTGTCCTTTAGTGGTGTTGGGGTAGCACATAGCTTTAAAAATCCTGTTGACCACAGTTTAAAATGCTGTGTTTGAAGACTGAAACCAGATAAGGCTGTTTTGTGTGAAAATTGGCAGAGTCAAGCAGGATGCTGTTGGCTTCATGAACCTGATCTGTTAGGTGCTAAATGTCTTTACACACTTTACAAATATAGTTGTGAACAAAAGCATCACTTTGGCAGGTGAGGAGGAAAGGTAGACTACATCCAAGGATCAATTTGGAAACTAAGTCAGCTCTTTAACACTGCAGGATTTTTGTTGTTTAATAGAATACTTCTAAGACAGAAGATTAAAATAATTGTTTTACTGTTTAAAATGCTGTGTTTGAAGACTGAAACCAGATAAGGCTGTTTTGTGTGAAAATTGGCAGAGTCAAGCAGGATGCTGCTGGCTTCATGAACCTGATCTGTTAGGTGCTAAATGTCTTTACACACTTTACAAATATAGTTGTGAACAAAAGCATCACTCTGGCAGGTGAGGAGGAAAGGTGGACTACATCCAAGAAGCACGTTTTGACTTGGAAACTAAGTCAGCTCTTTACCACTTCAAGATTTTTGTTTTCTAATAGAATACTGCTAAGACAGAAGATTAAAGTAATTATTTTACTGTTGGATGCTAAGTTAGCTTTGGTCCTGACTGGTGTTTGAACGGACGAGAGCAATCCTAGTGGATGATCCCTGGTGACTGCTTATGACCCCATCCTCTGTACACACTAAGCTCTTGTAACTAGATGACTGGGTGTAGACAACACCTGATGATGGTCTGCATCTCTCTACCTGTTCAGACAACAGATCTACTGACACAGGCAATGACAGAGATTTCCCAGACCCTCACAACAGACTATCGAACTCCCCAGGGGGACTACCAGCGAATCCAGTACATCCCAGTGTCTCAGTCCACAACTGGCCTGCAGCCACCTCAGCACATACAGCTGCAGGTCGTTCAAGTGGCCCAGGTGAGTAACTTCTCAGGGGACTTGATGTGCTTTTGATCCCCTCTATACCAACACAGTGCTTTCTTGGGGCTGTAGTGCTCAGAATTTTGTGAAGGAGTGGTTAGAAAAGTGGTGCAGGCTATTTTTTACAGATAAATTGATTGATAATGCAGATGGTTCCCATTGTAAGCATTGTGTACTGGGCATAAATAGTCCTGCCAGTGTGGACCAACTAGCTGGGGACATAACGATGCAGTGCTAATTTCATTCTACTTGTCTGGGCTCTTTGAATCTGCTCTAGGAAGGTTTTCCAGCAACTGGAAAAGTGGGTCAGTGGGTGACCTGTTTTTGCAGTTAAAGACTAATTTGTCCTTCATTGCTCTCCGTGAGCCAGAGACAAAATTGAGAAGTACAGAAAGCGCCTGCTTTTTCCCTTCATATCATCTACTAGAATATTCATTCTCTGTGATGCTCAGTAGCCTCCTAAAAATAAAAATAGAGTGTAACTAGAGTAACTGAGCTGAGGAAAATAACTTGGGCAGCTGTAAGAAACTGCCATAACCCTCAAATCTGTTGTCCACAGGGTGAAGCTGAAACTGCCATTTGTATTTGAATCTGAAATTTGGTGTCCTCTCTGCCCTCTCATTACAAATTAAGTTACAAATTTGGTTAAACAGTGGCCCCAGTTAATATTGACTGTGGCTGTACTTAAGATACAAAAGCATGAAAACAGATTCCTGCAGTGAAAATTAATTTTATCAAGAGCTGAGACTTGTAATTAAGTTACTCCAAATGGTGTCATTAGCAGGTGCTCAAGGAAGTCGTAAATTGTTAAGACTCTGAGCACTTGTCTTGATACAGAGCTATGTTGAACTGCAGTCTTGGACAGGCAGATCCTCAAGCATGTATAAATTTTATAGAACAGTGCTTACAAAGAATGATGAATGTAGTTGACACTAATCCTGCTTTTCAGACCCTTTAATTTGAATTCAGCAACTGCCACAGACAGCTTATATGACCTTAGGCAAATCCTTGCCGTTGATACCACTGAGATTTAACCATCTTGGTGCCATTACATCTGTTAAATGCACTTTTTTTATCTCCCTGGAGTGCAAAAAGGGTAAACACAGGCTTGAACAAGGAGGGCTTCATGGCCTCACTGAGACTCATACCTCATTGTTCCACACCTTGTGTCACAGAAGAGGATTACTTGGCTGCTTCTGCAAAGAATGTTAAGTATATGCCTCTGCTTTGATTGATGTCTAATTTTTTTTTCATTTTCCCCAGGCTACCTCACCTCACCAGTCCCAGCACTCCACAGTAGATGTTGGGCAGCTTCATGACCCCCAGACTTACACCCAGCATGCTATCCAGGTGCAGCACATCCAGGTCACTGAGCCATCGCCAGCGACTCAGTCATCAGCACAGGTATTTCACTCTCCTCTCATAGGAAATATTTGCCCCACTGGTCTGCTCAGCTGGTGTATTACATGTGCTGATGCAGGAGATAGTGTTTTTTCTGTGATATTTAGAGGACCACTCGTGAAATGACCTCAGAGATGTTCATATGAGAATTATCAATGATGTCCCTAGAGTGTATGGTTTTGTTTGCATTTTGTTGTTTTTTTTTGAGTTTTGGGGTTTGTTTTTTTTCATAAGAGTATATAAGGTAAAGATAAACTGCTGGGAACAGACAAGTTTGCAGTTTAAAGGAATCTAGCCAATTGAAGGATGTAAATGGAAACTGTCATTCCTCAGTTATTTGAAGTTCAGCTCTTCATGCTGGCATTTGGCTGGCTGAGTAGTATTTTACCTGTAATCTGTTTTGTGCCACAGACTTGCTATGTAACCTTCAGCAAGCAACATCTCTATTTCAGTTTCCCAGTGCTCTGCTTACTTAGCATGGAGTGAAGCAAGTTGGAGGAGAGGGAGAACTGTGCAGTTCTTGTGCTCGATGTATTATAGAACCCACCCCATGTTTTGCCTTAATAAGATGGACACATTTCTTACAGGTCAGAGCTACACGATCCTTAGTATGCTGAAGGCACTTACACCTTTCTCTTTCTCCTAGGTTGGAGGTCAGCCTTTGAGCCCTTCCTCACAACAATCTCAGCAGGCACTCAGCCCCTCCCAGATGCAAACGACCTCGACACCAAACCAAGCTGTCCAGCAGCAGCAAGGAGCTGCAGTCCAGCACACCTATCTTCCCAGCACCTGGAATTCGTTTCGGAGCTATTGTAAGTGCTGAAGGCAGCTCTCACTGGTGCTCTGGGTATTGTGTGGGACTGATATGTCCTCCTTTTCTCCAGCTGCAGATGGGATAGTGTTTTCAGAGCTCTTTAAGCTTTGTGATTGACCTTCATAGAGATCTCAGAAGATGGTTTCAGACAAATGAAAATGCTTGTAGTAACTCTTCTGCTGTACGTCCATAATGATGTGATACATGGTTTGGACAGTAGACTGGGCCCCTTTGGTCCAAGGAACTTGCATGCACCAGGAATCCATATGTTGGGAGGCAACTTGTTCAAATTTGGGTGGATACCCAAAAGAGTCATACAGAAGTTAAGGGTGATATGAAGTGATTTCTTGTGTCCGTGCAACTCTGGATATTAATTCTTGGGTAAGAACAGTATGAATTGCCACATCTGCAGCTGATGTTAGTTGCCATAATTCTTTTGAGGCCTGGAGAATCTTACAAGGCTTTACACTAATTTCTGTTAAACGACAACTGTGTCAGGCTTGATATCTTACTGATGTAAGACACTGTCTTTCAAGGTGGCCTTTGACTTGCACTAAAGATCTTGATTCTCCAATTTCTGTTTCTGTAGCATCTGAGATTCAGATGATGACCATTCCCCAAGGCCAGTATGTGATCACAGAGACAGCTGTAGGTACACCAGTCACTACTGTCAACACAGGGCAAGTCAAAGCAGTTACTCAGGTAAGGAAAACAATCATGGGCTTTTTTTATCCAGAATAATGTATTTGACTTAAAGCTTTTAGTTGGAAGGTTCAATGAATGCAGAAATGACAACTGGGGTGCAGAGACTAGACAATAATGGTGCAAATACAGCTTCATTTCAGAGTTCCTTGTTTGTATTCAAAACTCTTCCAGCACAGCAGCAGCAAACTTAGAGACTATTAGAAGAGAGAAGTTACAGAAATGAGGCAACAGTTAATCGGGCTTTTTTTATGTTCACCATGCAGACTCACTACGTGATATCTGAAGGCCAGCCTGATCTGGATGTCAAACAAAACTCCTCGCTCTCCAGTGAGGTGCAGGTGGGTGTTTCCCAGCCCCCAGCCCACACGGATCCCTTGGAATCACCAGCCAGCAGCCAGCAGCAAACCACCCAGTACATAATCACTACGACCACCAACGGGAGCGGCGGCAGCGAGGTGCATATCACCAAACCAAGAACTTTCCCAGCAGAACATGAATGAAGAAACCTCACCTGGCACTTGCTTGTTACTTGTCACCTGCCCCTAAAGCCCAGATATATGGGTGTCCTGGGGCTCAGTATGTTTTAAAATATATGCTCACTTCTCAGCTAAAATCATGGAGCTCTTGTTAATGCTTTAAGAGGGTTTAAGTCCCCGGTGACTGTGAAGAGGTACCCTCAGAATCCTTTTGGGATGCTATTTTATGCAGCTTTTAACAAAAAAAAAGGACAAGAGAAAAAGTGAAACCTCTGCTTGCTCTGAACTTGATTTTTGGCATGTCTGCTGACCCTTATTTTTCATTTTCAGAAGCGCCTCCAGTAAACAACTTATTTGAATTGTATGGGGAAAAAGCTTGCCTAATTGGAGGCTTACTGGCAAATGATAGAGTAGGTATATTTTCAGTAGGAGCTGATAAATGGGAGGACATGATGTAAATTGCCAGAATATGGCAGAACTGCTTCCTACATCTTTGTTTCAGCAGCCAAGGTGAAAGGGAATGAACCAGCTTGACGTGAGCAGACTGCCTGGAGAAGAGCAGCAGCAAAGCGGTGGTTCCTCATGGGCATGCGTGGGGATGGATATTGTGATGAAGCTGTGAAGATGTGCCCAAGCAGTCACTCTGTTAAATTATAATTATTTTTCCAGCCCTTGAAAACTGTTTACATGCTGCCTGTCCTATTTTATTTACCAAGCTGTTCCAGAAAAAAGGAGAAGCTCAGTCTTAAACCTGTGTCGTGCGGAACAAGTGGATTGAAATCAAAGTAGCGCCTAAGGGTAGCACGGAGCCACTGTTGAATCTCTTCCCCTCCAGGATTTGCAGGGGAAATCACCCTTTTGCCTGTGAACATGAGAAGTCTCAGCTTATCCTGCATAGCAGCTTCTGCTGTGACCTAAAGATAGTTGTGCCAGGAGAAGATGAGGGTACAGGAGCACACCTCTGAAGAGGCAGGGTCGTTATCTCTGTGGCCTCTTCCAAGTGGACACATTTTTCCCCTTGAAGACTGGATGAAGAGGTGGTCACAGATTTTTTTTCCAAATAACCTTGTTAACAGGGCATTGTAAATTTCTTTGGACAGTGCCATAAAATGACCAGCCCTGGACTCACACAGGCCACACACTAGCGGACCACTATTTATGGGACACAGAAAGCCATCTGGGGAGAGCTGCCTGCTTTTGGTAGACCTGGTTCATGTACAGAATTCATGTCACATTTAGGGACCAGGAAAAAGGGAAAGAAAGGGTTTTAGGCTGTGTTTTTTTTTTTTTTTTTCTCCCCATAATTCTCCATCACAGGTCTGTTGGTTGTTTAATGCATTCTGGTATTTGCAAGAACTCAGCTCTACTGACCTCTGATGGGATATACTGTGTGTGTCTAAACCTCTGTTCACCACCTGTAAACTCATCCCAGAATGTCTGTGTGTAACAGGAAGCATTTATTTATAAAACAAAACCAGAGAAGGATGTTTTTTCTTAATGGCCCTCGGGACTGAAGAACTGAGAGAGGTGTGTGGGTTTTTTCAGTTTTGCTTTCTCTTGTGCTGCACTGAGTGTAAGTGCTATAGATGTTTACAGGCTGTGGTCTCATTATTAATTCCATTATTATGGAGTTAAAGCTCTTAGATGTGAGAGAACTTCACACTCAGATGGGACAAGAGGAAGTCTGGTGACTTGCAGACAAAGCTTGTAGCAGGCATTGCTTTGGTAATTAATGTAGCTGTTAATATGGTGTGGAAATAGAGACCATGTGTGATAAGATAAATCAGACTGAAAACACTGGCAAGCTCAGGACTGTTTTGAGGTGGCTTTGAAGTGACTTGGCAAAAAGTGGACTAATTTTGTGCCAGGGATTTTGCTTCTCTTGCTGTACCACTGTAATGAGATGGGTGAAGTTAATGAGGACCAGAGCTGCCATTTAGTCAAATGCAGTGATGAGTCTCTTTATATTCAGTGGATCTGGGAGCCTGTTGACTTCAGCAGTGTGGCCAAGCTGAAATCTGGAGTCGTGTTGCTGAGAGCTTCTGAATTAAAATGTTGAGTGTTCTGATGTTGGTGTGGGAGAAGGGAGACTTGTCTTGGCTTTCTTCAGGTTTCCAGATGATTTAATGAGTCAAAAATGGTTTGAGTAGGAGGAAAATAAGAGATTTGGGATATTCCAGGTGGCTACTGCTCTACAGGAGCAATTTTAAAGTCTTAAAAGGTCTGTAGTCTTTCTAGATGAACGTGGCACTTGTTCCCCTTAATGATATTGCAGATGTGAGGTTTAAAAAAGATATTTTGCTCTATTGGTCTTTGTTGCAAAGGGTCACAGAGAGAGGACAACTGTATTAACTACTTAAAGCTAAAAATTACAAGGTGTCCCAGAAAACTGTTTTAATGCAGCCTCTTTGAAGATAGTTTCTACTCTGTCCCACAGCAACAGCAGTATCCTTGGTAGCTGTGTTAAGTGATTTGGGGTGTCCCAAATTAAAGGAATGCCTTGTTGCAAGAGGAGCATCCCTGGAACTGGAAGTATCATGAATTTTTCTTCCTGAGTGAGGAACTGCAATGATTGCACAGGTGGCAGGGACCTGCTTTTAGAAAAATAACAAAAATAGACAAACGTTTGCATGGATTTTGTTTTTTCGATTTCTGCAGTGCAGAAGGTATGGAATTTATTACTAGTGTTCTTATTAAACCAGAGCAACCCAGAGATCTCTCTCAAGTCATGCCCCTCAGGAGCTCAACTCTGGAGTCCTCTCGGTTGCCTGCAAGGGCCACATTTTGCTTGAAGATGGGCGCCGCTGTAAGCTCCAAAGAGCTAACTAGGAACAACTGACACTGTTCCTCGTTGGGGTTACTGTATTTTCCTGAAGAAAACAAAACCAAACCTCCTAGAAAAACCCCATGAAAACCAAGCACCCTGACTTTGCACCTCTGACTGCTCGGGCTGTTTTGCTCTGCCCCTTATTTAACTGTGTATGTTTGTTGTACATTCAGTGACTGTTACTGTGTTCATAGTCTTGTGCAACCTCGCAGGTGTAAAAAAAA